AGTTGTTTTTTTTAAATTTTAAGTATTTATATTATCAACCTAGTAAATTAAAATAAAAAATTTTTAAAAAAATCCATATTTTTCATGGGGGAGAGGGTGTTTGAACCCCTAAACCCCTCCTCATGCCTACGCCATTGAATCGGCTCACCACGTTCCTTTTTTGCTTAAAATATTCTCTTAAATGAATCAGTCAGTAATGTAGATATGTGCAAAATCATACTTAAGTGACCATGGAGCTAATTTGGAAAGGCATATAAGGCATCATTCTAAAGAAAATGAATCCCTAACTATAAAAAAAAACTTTTCAAATCTATTTTGCCATCAATATTTAAATCTAGCCATATTTATTGAGCATTCATTAAATTCTATGATCAGGGTTAAAATGGATAAAAATACATTAATAAATTCTTGTAGAGAGATGATTCTAAAATATATTTTTTATATATTATTGATAGAAACTTATAATAAAAATAAATTAATTTTTCTATTTTATAAACAATGGCAAAAATTTTAATAAATAATATTTATAAATTAAAATCAATTGTGTTGCTTCCTTCATAATTAGCTAAACCGAATCTAACCTTTATAAATTTTTATATACTGAACCCTTAAAAAGAAAAGTTCGGGTCCCTGATTAGGAGGCTTATCGAATATAGACTAATTACGAGTTATAAATTATTCATTTAGTTTGAATACTAATAAACATTTATTCCATTCGAGTTATTATAAGGGAATTCTGTTTGAAATATTAATTTTAAAAAATGGAATTTCATTTTCCAAGCGAGTTCTTTCCCTATTTTCCTCAGTTTTTATATATATTTTTTTAAGATTAATTCCCATTACATTTTTTCCCCGATACTAATGTTTTTTTATTATTTTTTTTTGGAAGTGTTGCATGTTACATGTTTGTAAGATATATTTTTTAACGATATATTCGTTTTATATTAATATATTTTTTCATTTTGTAAGGTTTAAGGCGATCGTTTTTTAGTAACGATATATTATTATTAAAGATATATTCGTATTGTAATAATATATTATATGTTTGTAAATTGGATAACGTGATTTTATATGATATTCGTTTTTTTTATATAATTGATTTATTTGGTTATAAAAAAAGATCTTACATTATAAATTTTATCAGTTAACTTTTCATAATAAAGAATCATTTAAAATCTTATATTTAAATTAAATCCCTACTTCTAATATACATTATACCAAGCAATTCCCCTAAGCAGACTTCAAATATCCTATTAATTCCTATAAATTCCGATATTCAAGACAAGCGAATTCCCCCGCCTGTCAACAATTTTTATTTAAAAATTTATTTTAAAATAGTAAGGCGATAGTTTAATAGGTTTTCTCGACATGCGCAGTAGGTTTTTCATTTTAAATTGAAATTTCTATGAAAGTTTATTATAAAATTGTCTGAATTTATAGGGTGGGTATTATTCACCTATTGTAATCCATTTTCGGCAAATTCATATTTTTAAATTCAAAATAAGGCGATAAATTAAAGAGTTAAAATGCAAAAAAATTTATAATAACCTTTAAAGAAATTTAAATTTTAAATTCAAAACCTAATGTGCATGTGTGGAAAACCTTTTTAATTATCGTTTTACAAAAGTTTAACGAAATCTTGTTATATAATTTTTCTAAAATTTATATGTAGTTAGTTAGTGGAAAATATTTCTGTTTATTTTTTGATATCTTTATAATATTTTAAAACTTTTTATATTACCAGCCTTTCTTGAATTTAATAAAATTTATCTATCAAAACTGCAGTAAAGCTATAAAATAAAACTCATTTTTTTAAATTATTATATATAATCAGGGACCCGTAACAAATACATTCCGTTCCTGTCGAGTTCTGGCCAATGTTCCATTCCAGTGCAATATAAATTTATCCAAGTTTCGTGTCCAGAATGTGTCCGGAAGTTTTATTTCATGCCCCTGCATATTCTATTATAGTTTTATGAATTAATTGCCCTTGATGATTAAGTTAATAAAAGTCAACCAAGAGGAGTAATTTGCGAAAAATATGAATACAATAACAGAATACTAAATTTTAAATAAAGTTCTATTCAGGAATAGAATTGCCGTATAAAAGATTTTTTTTATCAACCTTTTATTTTAATTTTACTAAAAACTAATTTTAAAGAGAACTTGTTAAAATTAAAAATCTTTATAAAACTAAATTCAAATGATATTTTATAAATGATCTCGATTCATCAATAAAGTCAATATATTTCAACAATCTTAAATTGAACAGTTGGTATAGAAAATAATATCAAAAAAAAATAATGGTCAGATGAATTTTCCATTTTTGGATCAGCTCAACTTGAGTTCCCTTTTTAAAACTAACAACAGCCCATTTTATTGGTGAGAATTTTAAAATAAATAACATGCATTACATTTTTTTAAAAAAATTCTGTCATATTTTCTTAACTAATTTATACTTAAGAAAACAAACAATTCAAACAGGATGTAGTAAATTATTTAATTCACTTAAATAAATTGAATGAATCATGCACTATATGATTATTATTCCTTTATTTTATTGATAATCCTTTCTATATATTCTCAGCATATATATCTATCAAGCACAAATATATCAGAATTCGTCATCAAATCAGAAATATGAACTACGTCATAATTTTTATATATCATGTATCTATGATCAGGTACTTCTATCATTTGGGGAGAGATGGAGTGGGTATAACAATTGAGGGGGGGGGGGGGTTAAGTTTGGTCAGAATTACCTTTTTTTGCTAATTGTACTTATTTTTTCTCTTTGCTAATTTCAAATTAGTAGAATATCATTATTGGCTGGGGAAGGGGAGGATTAGAGGTCCTGTCGACTAAAAAAATATGAACTAAAATATTAATAATAACAATAATCAACCAACACTTACAGAGCATCATACTCATCAAAATCAATACATTACTTTATAATAGATGTTTAATCTTTTACAAATATTAAGAGTTGATTTTAATTTGTGTAATAAATATATATCTATTAATGATATGCAATCTACTTTCATAGTAATGTGTAACATTTTGGATGGCGCTTTACTTTGGTTATGACCAGGGGTGGCACTACCCTTTACAATCAGGGGGCATGGCAGGGGCGTCGCTAGCCTTTACAATCTCAGGGGGCTCAACTAAAAAAAAAATTATAGGATGCTTCGCCCCCCATGCCCCCCAATTTGCGGGGGCCGGATATACTTTTTTTAAATTTGTTAACTCTGTACAATTATTCTGAATTTTAATTTTCTCATTTATTATTATATTGTGCATACAAAATAAACTGGCATATAAATAATTAAAACAATACAAGACATTTCTAAAAATAAAATTTTTTAATACAAAATCTATTTACTACAATATAAAATATTTTCGATTGCTGATATAAAAAAAATTTGCGTCTAAAGAATTACAAGTGATTAAAAAGATTAATTAATTCATACATATGCCTCAATTGATAATAGTTTTTAAAAACCACATAATGCAATAATATAATTCTTAGCAACTTATATTGACAAAAGGTTATCAAACTAATATCTCTTTTACCATTTTAGACAATGTTTTATAGAATAGAATGGACTAATAAGGGAAAATTTATAGGCCTAAACTAAATCAACAATTTTGGAAGAAGAGAGTATAAACGACCAATCCAAATCATAAAACTATATGGTCGTTAGAGCTTCCTTTTAGATGACATGATGGAAGCTAGATAAGTAATCGAGAAAATTATAGTGAGATATTAAATTTCTAAAAGATTATCTTCCATTTTAAATGATATATAAACGACTACACAGTTGACCATTATTATTTATTTAAAATATGCAATCATATGCTCTCAGCCGTTGTAGTAATAATCTTAAATTACATAGCAACACAAATAATAGATGCTGGTTAATTTGCAGTAATAGCCATGACACTCACGATGTAAACTAGTATCAGAATTTATTATGTTGGATAATTGATAAAATAAAAACACTAAAAATCTTTGGAAGAAATAATTGTCCAAATATATTGAAGCCTTGAGCTATTTACATGGCAAGGATGCCATATTAGAAATGAAACATTTTAGAATTATAAAATAAGGACCAGAATGATATGATGAAACAATTAAGATTTATATATTGTCGCACCACTTCTAGTTGGTATATTATATCTTAAAATAATAGTAATTTGTAAAAATATCAAAAATATACTTGTATTAAAAATTTAACTCAAAACTGTTATTTGAAAAAGAAAAAATAGCTTTCCTAACGTAAAAAAGAAGAGAAAAGATATCAAATTTATTACATCTATTGTAAAATGAATAATAAAATGCTTAATTTTTCAATATATTTATAATTAAATAGATGCGTTAAATACTTGAAAGCAATTTGTTACTAAATTGAGTATCAAAAGCATTTATTAGTAAAATTCATTATAATATTAGTTGTAATGTATTATAACTGTCAAATACGTCTATAAAAGTGGCATTTTATCTAATATTTTATAAACAACTGTATATAATAGTGGATTATAAACTATACGTCTACTTACTTATTTGGACCTTGAAAATATTTTTAGGAATAGGTATGATAATAAAATTTAAAAATAAATATAGTTGATTAATCATTTTGAACTCTGCTAATTAAAATATTAAATTTTTTAGTTTTCAATTAATAAATGATTTTATTTATTTAATTAGGGTTATAAAATAATTTAAATAATAATAGTCAATTAAGCTTCAATGCTAAATTAATATTTAGTAAGTGATATTGATATTCTATTTTTAACACAAAATTTGATTGCTAGCTGACATATATACTAATTAGTCTTAAATAAGCATACACAAATATGGATGGCTTTATTAACTGAAAATCACCTGATATTTACAACTGATATATATATTAATATGATTGATTTGTATGTATGACATTTATAACATTGATAATATATAAAATAAATCTCATTTATATCATATCCCCACACATATGATCTTACAATTCCTCAATCAGCCGATTTGTAGGTTTCCTGGCTCTTTGTGATTTCCGCGTTTCTAGTTTTCCGTTATCTTCCACATTTTCTAAAATCTCAACTATATCCGATTCTTTATTTTTTATATTTTCCTCTTCTCTCTCTGACTCCATATTTTCTCCATTTTCTTTCCCTGGCCCAGACTTCTCCATTTCTTTAGCTACCTCCCTTTTTCGAAGTTGATCCGCATGCTTTCGTACCATTCTATCCTTGCTTTCTACCAAATAAGAATATCTACCAGTTCTGGATTTTATAACTCCTTCTCTCCAACCTGAATTTATTTCATTATGCACCCATACCGGTTGTGCAATCTCAAATTCTCTCATATGACTATGTTCATCATGCGCTACTTTTTGTCGTATATTCGATCGTTCCATTTCATAACTAACATTAGGACGTAACCAATTCAATCCCGTTTTTAAATTTCGCCCCATTAATAACTTAGCCGGTGAACGTCCAGTTGATTGATGCTCACCCATTCAATATGCTAGCAAAACTTCTCCCATGGCTTCCTCGGGCTCCCGGATGTCTTTCCTAGTTGCAAAATATCGACTCTTGAGGTTCGTATCGTTTTTTCCGCTAAACCGTTCGGTTTTGGATGGTACGGTGTTGTATGTATCAATTTAATATTTTCCTCGAAACAAAATTTTCGAAATTCTCCAGAAATAAATTGAGGTCCATTATCTGATACGATTTCTAGGTGTTCCAAACTGTGCGAACCATTTCCTTAAAACCCTGATCATTGTCGTGGACGTGGTCTCTCTCATTAACTCAACCTCAACCCATTTAGTATGTGCATCAACTCCAACTAACCATGAATACGAATCAATAGGCCCCGCGAAATCCAAATGAATTCGTTCCCATGGTATATTAGATATGTTCCGAATATAAAGGAACCTCCATAATATTCGACCGATTACTTTGACAAGGCATACATTGACGAACATATTGTTCAATATCTTTATCGCAATTCGGCCACCAGCAATACATTCTAAAAATTGATTTCATAGCATTTATTCCTGGATGCCCTCTGTGTATAATCGTTAATATTCATTTCCTCAAAATGGTTGGAATTACCAACTTCCCATTCCATTCAATAACATCATGATCTACTGACAATTCCTCTCTACGATTATAAAAACAACCTAACTCTGTATTTTTTTTCGCATCAAAATCCACCCATCCATGCTCAATGTTTTTAACTACTTTTTTAAACAAGCTATCATGTTTCCTTTTGGAGTTCAACTTGACTAATATTTATATCGTGCAAATTTATAGCTCTAATTTTTAACGCGTTTTTTTGATCATTATTTGATTTTATGCCATCTATTGGCAGTCTAGATAATGTATCAGCTACTTTATTTTCTTTTCCAGGAACATATTCAATATCAAAATCATATGCGGACATTTTCCAAGCCCAGCGCGTTAATCGACTATTGGATATTTTTGGTAGTTCCCGATTATCACCAAATAATTTTTCCAAAGGTTTGTGATCTGTTCGTAATAAAAATTTTCGACCAAAAATGAATGTATGAAATTTTTCCATACCAAACAAAAGTGCTCGTGCCTCTTTTTCTATTGGTGCATAATTTTTCTCTGACTCTAGAAGTGTTCGCGAGGCAAATGCGATTGGTCTGCTAATATCTTTTTTCACTAAATAACATAACACAGCTCCAAAACCAGTGTTGGAAGCGTCACATTCCAATATAATTGGCAAGTTTGGCGAATATGGAATTGGCGTTTTATTTGTTGACAAAAGCTGTTTTATTTTATCAAATACCTCTTGTTCCTTGTCCGACCAACCCCAGCAAGATTTAATGCTTGTTAATTTATGCAGAGGAGCGGCAATTCCATGTAGATGTGGCAAAAATCTCTCGTGATAATTCACAAGTCCTAAAAAAGATAGTAATTGGTGTATATTACTAGGAGTTGGTATCCTTCGAATAGCATCTATTTTTTCTTTCGCTGGATGTATTCCATATTTGTCTATTACGAAACCCAAAAAAGAAACTGATTCATTTAAAAAACGTATTTTGGCCCATTTTGCCTTCATACCCACCTGTTTTAGTTTTATTAGTACTTTTTTTACGTTATTCAAATGTTCTACAACATTTTTCCCCGTCATGATAATATCGTCAAGATATACTCCGGTCATTTGGCAGTCTTGTAATAAATTGTCCATATATCTTTGAAATATGGTCGGCGCACTAGAAAGACCGAAAGGCATACATTGATATTTGAAATAACCAATGTGGGTCGATATGGTTAAGTATTCTTTTGAACTTTCTTTTATTGGTAATTGTAAATATGCATCTTTCAAATCTATTACCGTAAATTTCAATCCATCTTTTAATTTGGTTAAAAGATCATCCACCGTTGGTATAATATGATAATCGCACAAAATATATGGGTTTAATGTCACCTTAAAATCCGCACAAATCCTGATTTCTCCATTTGTTTTTCGTACGTTTACCGTTGGAGTGGCCCATGTCAACCGTTTTTGTGTTGGATCAATCGCCTTCAATATTCCTGATTTAACCAATCTATCGAGTTCCATTTCAATTGGTTTTCGTAATGGAAAAGGTACTCTACGAGCTGGCCATGATTTCGGCCTTGCTGCCTCACTCAAATGTATGCTAACTTCTATATCATTCACCCGTCCAGGCTTGTCATCAAAAACACTGAAAAATTCTGTTGTCATGCCAGCAATTTGTGTATTGGTTGTCATAACCTCTTTATTTGTGATACTACGTATAGTCACTTGTCGTGGAATAAACATATTAAATGCCAGTATGCATGGTAGTCCAAATAATGGAATGTCATTTGAACGGGTCACCACAATCGGTAGTGATCTGCTTATCTTTCCAAGACGAACCCTCACCATAGTTTCACCAAGCACATCTAGCGGTTGGTTACCATATACTGATAAAGGTTTGGTTGGTCCAAGTTTGGGTCGGCCAATTTCATCCCAATATTGTTTCCCAATCACCGATACCTGTGCCCCCGTATCATAGTCAAATTCTATAGGTACTCCATTTATCCAAACAAATATCTTTGCACTATTTCTACCAATTTGGGAAATATTATTAATTGAATCTGATGAATCATTGTCATCTATATGCATAGCATGTAACTTCTGTCCCTTACAATATTTAGCATAATGCCCTACCTTTTGGCAATTATAACATTTCACCCTTGATGCAAAACATTGAAAAGGGGGATGAGTTCTTCCACATTTTGAGCATTTATTAAACTTATACATATCATTATTGTTAAATTTATTGTTATCTCTAAACTTAAAATTATTATTATTGTTATTGTAATAACTAAAATTACCTTTTTCTTTGTTATTATTATTATATGAGTACTTTTGATTAGAAAAATTTCTTGATTATTCTCTATCTGCTCCTTAGGTTTATTGACTTTTTTTACGATCATATTTGTCACTTCATTCTCAGCCCTTTCCATTGCCAAAGCCATATTTAAAACCTGTTGAAAACTCACCCTTTCTCCCAAGTCATTTATTCCATCTGGAAATCTAGTGCGAATATCTTTCTCCAATGCACCCATTTTGATTCCAGCCACCATCTGATCCCTCAATCTCCCATCTAGATCAGATTCAAATTTACATTCTTGAGCCAATTTTTTAAGTCGAGCTGCAAACTCCGCAACTGATTCATTAACCCCTCTTTCTATCCGAATAAATTTAATTCTCGAGCTAAATAATGTTGAAATAGGCTTAAAAACTTTCTTACCCACTTCAATAATCTCTTCATAATTAAGATCTTTCAATATTTTTGGATAAACAAAGGACCTCATCTCTGCTAAATTACTAATACCCATATACGCAAATAAAAAATTTTTTTGGTTTCATTATTTACTAATATACCTCTTATCTCCAACATATCATCAATATATTCAATGTAATCAGCAAAATTGTTTTGCTTGTCGAAGTTATCAAATTTGATCATTATGTTATCATTTTTTTCTTCTTTATTCATAATTACTTTATTTTTGTCTTCTTTGTTCATAATAAGATCATCGACAACGTCGCCAATATACTAATTAGTCTTAAATAAGCATACACAAATATGGATGGCTTTATTAACTGAAAATCATTTGATATTTACAACTGATATATATATTAATATGATTGATTTGTATGTATGACATTTATAACATTGATAATATATAATATAAATCTCATTTATAACACTGACATAGTGAAAATATAATTTATATGTATTAATTTAATCTAATATTTAAAATAGTATTCATTTAATAAATGTTTAGACACTCTAATTAATTTTTAAATAATAAAATTAAATATATATTTTACTTAATAGAATTATAAAAGAAATCTTTCAGGGGAATCAAAAAATTTTATTTTTAGTTCAAAGGGTTAAGATTCCATTTAAAAAAAATTTTTTTGCTTCAGGGGCTATTCAAATTTTCCAGGGGGCTCGAGCCACTGCGCCCCCTAGCGACGCCACTGGGGCATGGCTAAGCAAGGATTTATATATTAGACATGATAAAAATATCCTTCACAATCTTGAACTGATATCCTTAGATTTAAATGGAAAAAAAATATTTAATGAATATTTATACTTTTTATATATTTTTTTTAAATATTTTATATATATTTTTATTATATTAGTCTTAATATTTTTTAATATATATTTATTTAAATTAATTTTTATTTTTAAGATAAAATGCGTATAGTAAAAGTATATCAAAAGGTATCTTAAAAAGTATTTAAAACAGATATAGTTACATCTAAAATAGTATCTATAGATATTATACAAGTGTATCTAGATAATACGACATTTGAGCAACATCAATATATGATTATGTACATAGTGTTATAAAACACCGACTTTGAGACATAACTTAAATTTTATCAATAAATTCTTAAATATGAATTATACAAGGTGAAATAGGGGGTTATAATTCTTATGAGCAACACCATGATATGAAGAAGCTTTCTCTTAAACAAAAAACGATGGATATATGGACTAATCTTATTTATTTCAAGTATACTCTCTATTCCATAAAAGTAAGGTTTATTTAAAAAAAATTGTGGCATTTTGTGGTGTCATCTTTATGGTGCTCATTTTCTTTATAAAAGTGATTACAATTATAAAGATTTACTTTTCAACAAATTATTCGGCTCTTTTAATTTATGAAATTAATTCAAATAATATAATTAATCGAATCACACAGCTGAAAAAGTCATGCGATTTAGACTGACAATACGAACCTTATGACATTCTTCTACGTTACTCCGGCATTTTCAAGGAATAAGCTGATTCGAAAACATATTCTGTTAATCATGTTTTAGTGTGAAGCTTAAACACTTTATTTGAAGGGTGGTAGTGTATGCGATGCAGTTTAAGTGCAAATCAAGTTTATAAAATAATGAGGCAGAATAATTTTATGTAAAAATGTCGTAAATTATCATTATATACAAAAAATAATA